CAAATTCCAAGGCAAATAGTCGACCTAGTCTATGCCCCTTCCCTTTCACTGTCCTAGTACGCTAGTCCTGTATCAAACAACCATCATGGGAAAAGGAAACAATGTTACCATCCTCAACTAGTTGACCGACTGAAATCAGATTTGTTGTGAATTTAAGAACAAATAAAGTTTTAGGAAGATGAAAGCAGGAATTAACAAATGTAGGCAAAGACAAATCATTGCATCCAATGATGTCCAATTTCTCTCCGTTAGCAGTAATAATATGTTTATTCAAATTTTTGGTTTAATGGACTGACCAATGTGTGCCCCTGTCATATGGTTAGAGGCATTGGAATCAATGATCCATAAATGACTAGGAGAGAAACAATAATAGGATGACTCACCAAAAAGATCGATGGCTGAAAATGCAGAAGAAATAGCTGAGAGTACTAGCTGCTGCATTCTTTCTTTTGTAAGAGCTCCAGAATTTTCATCCTTTCCTGCTGAAGTAGCACTCCCTCTCTTTGCACCTTCAATTGTTGTCTGGAAAGCCTTATGTTGACTCTTTTTAGAACTTGAACCATTCCTCTTAGCTGGCCAGGTAGGACATTCAGGAATGATAATATGTCCATATTCCCATCAATGTAACCTTGCAGCCCATGGCTCACTGTAGACCATCTTGCTGAAATGACCCATTCCTTGTAGTTATATTCATCTAGTTTCACATTACTAATCTGTACAGATTCCCAAGATGAACAACATTTGTCTACTGTCCTGAAACTTCTGGATGAGGCTTCACTTATGTTGGAAGACATACCGAACTCACCAAAGACTGTTATTTGAGTGTAGAACAGGTCAAATAATACTTCTCTTTGCTGAAACTTCAGAAAACTGAGTTAGGAAGCACTCAAATCTCTTCGACTGATGGTGAAATACTACTCTTTGCCAAAACCTCAGAAAACTGAGTTAGGAAGCACCCAAATCTCTTCGACTGATGGTGAAATACTACTTCTCTTTGCCAAAACCTCAGAAAACTGAGTTAGGCAGCACCCGAATCTCCTGGACTGGTGCTACTTACAGTCCAGTGGCTAGAACAATAATCCCTTGGACTGATACTCCTTATGGTCCAGCAGCTAGACCTGTTAACTAGGTCTACTCCACAGTTTCTTGCCTCACTTGGGCATACAGCTGTTTTTCTGGGCCTCCTTGGAGATTTTTCCCAGGAAATAAAACTGGAAACTACTTCAGTTCGCCACGACCAGAAATAGCACTCCCTCTTTGTTGTTCCAACAATAAAAAAGTGGCGTAAGAAAAAAGGAGGAGATGAAGGAGAGAGTAAACGAGTAGAAGCAGAGCAGATTACAGCTCTGATACCATGTTTGGATTCTGGTTTTGATGGAGGAAGAAGAAGATTAGAAAATAGGGTGGCAGCTTCTTTCCAGACCTTCAAAATGTTATTTATATTAGGGCAACAAACTTACATGGGTTAACAAAATTACCCCCATTAGTAAGAGGTAATCTATATATATATATATATATATATTAAAATTGGTCTGTCCATGTCAGCGTGTCTGTCCTTTGAGAGAAACTATTTATCTATTTTTTGCATTTTTCTTATTTTCTTTTGTTTTAAAATTATAAAACAGTAATCATTGGTTATCTTGATTAGATTAATAAAGCTACACACTATTAGAGAGACCTTTGGGTTTCCCATTGCCTCTTATTTTAATGCATGTTATTATTGCATTTAAAAGAGAGAGAGAGAGTAGTAATAATATAAATAGGTTGAGGTTAAATAATAAAAAAAATCTTAATTTAAAAATCCGCTAAACTTTCACTAAAAATAAATATTAACAAACTTAGTAAATCTTAAAAATGTGTTTCAACTCCACTTAAAAATCAAACTTAATAAATGCCAATAAAAATAAGAAACTCATATAAAAATATTAATTGATAGTTTTAATAATATTATTAGATAAGTTATGAGTTAAGACCTTTATTGTGCATAATGAACTCATTAAAATGATAACAATTAATGAAAATTTAAAATGCAGAACCCATATTAATTGATAGTTTTAATAATATTATTAGATAACTTTGTATTAATGCATTTTTAATTAATTAATAATATTTATTAGTTGAGACCTTTATTGTGCATAATGAACTCATTAAAAATGATAAAAATTTATAATGCAGAACCTATTTTATTGCAAAAATTACTGAATAATAATGAAAAAACTCCAACAATTAATTAAAAATCCAGAAAATTCTGAAAAACATAAACATAATTAAAATACTAAAAATAATTAACAAATATTGAAAATTAATAATATTTTATATTAATAAGGGTATTTACAGAAAATAATTAAAAAGTACAATTAATAGTATTTTATTATTAAAAAATACCCAAGCCAGAAATTATTGAAAAATATTGAAAATTATCTGTATTTTTTATTAACTATGGTATTTATTTAGTTATTTAATTTATTTTTACTGAAAGCAAATGCAAATTAATTTTGTAATGACTAATATGCAAAAATAAATGCTGAAAATACTGAGAATTGTTGAAAAATACTCATATGCAAAAATTACTGAGTAATAATGAAAAAACACCAAAAATTAATTAAAAATCTGAAAAACCTAAAGCTTAATTAAAATAATTAAAATTTAAATTAGTTGTATTTTTTTGCAAAAAATACTGAATTAATAATGAAAAAATAATGTATTTTAATTATTAATAGTAATATAATTAACAGTAATTATTTTTAAACTGTAATTAACAGTAATTATAATTTAAGCTATAAATAATAGAAAAATACATTTAATTACCAAAAAGTTATATTTAATTACCTGAAAATTACATTTAATTAGTTTTAGCCAAGAATATAGCAATATTTCTGAAATTATGATAATTTTCAAAAATTACTGTATTTTAAATAAATATAGTAATTTAGTAATTACTATATTTTAATAGCTAACAATAAAAAGTTACAAATTGTTTATAACTTAACCTAACTCGATTAGATCTATAAATTTGTAGGCTCAAGCAACTATTTTCTTTTGAGTTAGGTCTAGCTAAGATATGCACCATGCCCACACATTATCAGGGATAATTAGATTCGAAGTCTAATTCGGTATCAAACTTTTGGAGTTCAATGATGGCTTTAGCAGATTGGGCTCGAGCTAAACAATCCCTAATAAGCTCAACTTAAATGTTATATGCATATATGGTAAATATTATTATATAATATTTAAATAACAAATTTTATATTAATATATAGAAATGTTACATATATTTTTATACTAGACTAGGATTAAATAAAAATTTTAATTTGTAAAAAATGATAGTTTTATAATTAATACAGGCCTCTTTATCAACAGAAACCATGCAAGCCCGAGCGCAACCCTTATATAAAGCCCGAAGCTCGAGCCCGAGCCCGAGCCCGAAGCCTGATCTGTACACAAAATGTCTTATTTTCAGTATACTTTTATAAACTAATATTATATTAATTTAGTAATAATTTAATAAATTAATAAATTAATTTATATTTCCTAATAGTAAATTGATATTTGTTAATAATTTAAGAAGCATATTTGATATAAGTACTTTTTTATATATGTAATAGTATCGGGCCGTACTCGGGCTTGGGCCGAGCTTATTTGAGAAAGCCCGATCTCAAGTCCACAGGCCTGAAATTCTGTCCAAGCATGAAAAATAACGGGTTAGGCTGGGCTGGGCCGTTAAGCTACCCGACCCATGAATAGGTTTAATTGTATACATCAAAAATCATATGAAATAAAAATTTAAACATCTTTTTTCATTTTTTTTTTTAAAATGGACCTCTCATAGATTGGTCCGGTCTGGCCTGGCCCAAGGCTCGACCCATGGCACGGCTCAGGTTGTGGGTTGTGCCGAACCGACCCCCTAAATTATCCCAGGGAGAAAGGCACAACTTGGGATGCGTCATGGGCCAGCACAGCCTGACCCGCACTGCATGTGGGTCGTGTTGTGCTGGCCCAACACGATCCGATTTACACCTCTACTTGATCCCCCCCCCCCAATACTGGCGATAGGGCGGGGAAATTCAAGGATTCCCCATCCTTAATGAGGAGTGGGGTGCCTTGCCCCTGAACTCACCTGACATTGAGGAGTGGTTGCCTTGCCTTGAACCTGCCTGACATTGGGGACAGGGTGGGGATGGGGTAGAGTGTCTTGACTATGGGGCAGGGATAGGGATGGGGTGCTTTGCCTTGAACCCACCCCATTGTCATTCCTATATAATTGTTAATTATTAGTGAAATTAATAAAAATGTTAGCTTTTGTAATTATTTTATTTATTTAAAATTAATCAAAATTGCATTTAAAAATATTAAAAATAATAACAATTATTAAAATTACTACAAATTATTAATAAAACTAGATTTATTAAAAAAATATTTATTCATATTAAATTAACAATAATTATTTTCTGTAAATCAACATTAAATGAAAAATACAATTATTAAAGTTTTAGATATTAACAATAACTTTGTATACTTTTAGTTAATTAATAACAAATTTTGATTATTAAATTAATATTAATTAATAGTAAATAATTATTAAATCTTTCAGATTTTCCCGTGCATCGCACGGGTCCCCGCTAGTATAACTTAAAGATATAAGAAGGCCCAGGCCCATTTACACTTAACAACAGAACAAAACATTAAAGCACAACAAGACATAAACATTTCATAATATAAATGGGCTGAAGCCCATTCTGTTAAGTCCCACAACAATGGATACCAAGTTACATACTGAACCATTTTGGAACATAAGAGAAACATGTGGAACCATTTTGGGCTCAAAACCAATTTGCCATGTGGAAAATCATGGAATCACCTAAATTTCTCTTAACCATGCGGTGTCTTTTCTTCGGTACTTATACTGGAAAATATATTTATATCTAACTTTATTTAGTAATTAATGATCATTTTCCATGTAACCATGGATGGAGATTGACAGATTTCACTTGTGAATGTAGGCTGCATTGAGTACTTTACTGCTCATTATCTATAACTGCTCTGACCAAGTTATCACTACAAAGGAAAGAAGAAAAGCCAAATCTCGTGAGGCTGCAGCAAGGAGTGCAAGAGAAACTGCACAAGCTCGTGAAAGGTGGAAGTCTGCAAAAGATGTTGCTAAGAAGCATGCAGTAGGACTGCAAACACAGTTATCCCGTACATTTTCTCGTATGAAGTCTGTAAGGCAACCTGAGCAGCTGAAGGTCCTGGGTCAAGCTAAACCTGGAACAGATGATGCTTTCTTAGCAGCAGCCCAAAGTTCTTCAAGTTCACTTCAGCAACCACCGGCATCAAAGGGCAAGAAAAAAGAGCCAAGTAACCTGACAAAGATGTTGCGTGCACTTGAGGAGGATCCTGATAGTCATGAAGGTTTCAATCTAGAAATTGGAGACAAAAATATTAAAAAGAATATGCCAAGGGGCAAGCAAATGCATACTCATAGCCAAATTTTCAAGTATGCATATGGTCAACTTGAGAAGGAGAAAGCTATGCAGCAAGAAAACAAGAACTTGACCTTTTCAGGATTAATTTCTATGGCTGCTGATATTGAGATTAGGACCAGGCCTGTGATTGAGGTTGCTTTCAAAGATCTGACCATTACTTTGAAAGGTAAGCACAAACATCTCATGAGGTGTGTTACAGGGAAAATTATGCCTGGTCGTGTTTCTGCTGTCATGGGTCCATCTGGGGCCGGAAAAACCACATTTCTTTCTGCTTTGGCTGGAAAAATAACTGGTTGCACAACGAAGGGTTTGATTCTTATAAATGGAAAGATTGAATCCATCCACTCATATAAGAAAATTATAGGCTTTGTGCCACAAGATGACATTGTGCATGGGAATTTGACAGTGCAAGAGAATCTCTGGTTCAGTGCAAGTTGTAGGTATGCCACATTCAGCTCCTTCTAGGCTAAATGCAATTCATTTATGATATTTTTCTCTTTGGATCTTTTTAGTGGTCCCCTTTTCTCAAGATGAGATCTATTGAAATCAATGCTGTCAGTCCCTGGTGGTTTGCAAACCTAGAAGGATAACTGGTCAACGGTCTTACCATTGGGCCAATGACCCATGAAGCCATATTAAATGTTATAAATTGTATAGAATGCACTTATGTGTGGTTGGGTATCCTTTCTCTAGCCTCCATGCATATCACACAGGTTTGGGTCTCACCAATTGCAATGGAACTGAAGCTCAGTGGTTGTTATCATTATTTCTTAAAGGTTGGTCTAGTGTAGATTATGGTTTCTCCATTTATGCTGGAACCATTGAATTTATTAAAATACCAACTCCCAAATTGAAAAGGTGCAGGATCAGTATTTGCTCCAATAAGAATTGATTCTGACATTGGTGTATAGGAAAAATGTAAACTGGGATTTCAGAAACCTGTAAACCTTACTGGGTCCCAGTCAATATGGTCTGACAGTAAAGTCCTATTGGGGTCTGACAACACTGCTCAAAATGAGAAATTAGGGAAGGGGAAACCTTTATTAGAAGGATCTCTATATAATGAGAAACCCAGGTCCCTCCACAGTACAAAAGCAACCTTATTTCTCCCCTAAAATTGTAAACTATCAAACATCTTTCAACCTTGACATCTTTGAATTCCTATGGAATAAATGACTGATATGAAGAGAAGGGCCTTAAATCCCATAGATAAATGCTATTTCTTATAAAGGAAATTATTATTATTCAAGTAAAAGTAGGAAGAAAACAGAGAGAAGAAGAGAAGAAGATTAAGTATTTTGAGGCTCAAAAAATAGGCTGACAGCACCTAGTAAATTATTTATATTAGGGTGGCAGCCAAAAAGTATAAAAAGACTAAAATGCACTTGTGGCATTGATAACAGAATTACAACACTCCCCCTCAAGGTTGGTCATAGATGTCAATCATACCCAACTTGTTACATAATTCATTGTACCGCAAACAGTGTAGACCCTTTGTGAGTACATCAGCAAGCTGCTCCTTTGAACTGACAGATGGAGTACATACTTCTCCTTTCTCAAGTTTTTTATGATGAAATGCTTGTCAACTTCAATGTGCTTGGTTCAGTCTTGAAGTATTGGGTAAGCAGCTATATTGATGGCTGCTTTATTGTTGCAATAAAGTGATATAGGACTGTCTACAGCAAACCCCAACTCCAACAATTTTTTTCTACATAGAACTTCTATAACTCTATGTACCATGGCCCTATATTCTGCTTCAGCGCTAGATCTAGCCACCACACTCTACTTCTTGCTTCTCCATGTAACTAAATTACCTCCCACAAGAGTGTAATACCTACTAGTAGACTTCCTATCATCAACAAACCAAGCCCAGTTTGCATCAGTGTATAACTTAACTATCATGTGGCCATATTTTGTAAACAATTGACCCTTCCCTAGATGTTTCTTCAAGTACCTGAGTAAGGTTTAAAGTATCGATACACTCGATATTCACGAATATGTGTATCATGTGTTTCTGGGTGACTAATACACCTTTTGTAAAACATCAATTTTTTAAAAACCCTTAATAAGTGTTCCTATGACCCCCTGATAGGCTAATACAATACAATATGCCCAATATGAGGCATACCAATCAAAATTTTGAACCCCCTTACTTGAAGGTTCTCTTTGTAGCCTCAAGATAGAAAGTCTTATGTGCATGCATATTTTGGATCTAGATAGAAATTTTGAACCTTGTACTTGAACATAGGCAATGCCAAGCCAAGTCATTGCTAAGTATAAAAATCTTCTCATCATCCTTTGAAATTGCTTATTATCTTTTAAAGCCTCACCACCATTATTATTTAATTTGTGATTTACATCAATAGGAGTGTCAACTAGCCTTGCTTCCATCTTGGTTGTATCCTAGGTAAAATCTGGGGCATATTTCCTCCAAGAAATGAAGATACCTTTTTCTGAATAGGCAACCTCAATTCTAAGGAAATAACGCAGAGGATCTAGATCTTTTACCTCAAACTGTCTCCAGTGATAGCAATGTCATCCACATACTCTATCGGGACATCAATCTTACCTTGGTCCCTCTTAACAAACAAGGTATGATCTAATCGACACTACTTGAACCCCATCTGCTAGACTGCCATATGAAACCTACTGAACCAAGCTCTAGGTGATTACTTCAACCCATATAGAGATTTTCTTAGCTAACATACATTATGCTCATTGCCCTTGACCTCAAACCCAAGAGGTTAAATCATATATACATCATCTTCTAAATTTCCATCCAAGAAGGCATTCTTGATGTCCAGATGACGAAGACTCCAATCTGAATTAGTAACCAAGGAGAGAAGAACCCGAATAGAGTTCATTTTAACCACTAGAGCAAAGGTCTCAACACAGTCAATTCTGTATACTTGTGTATACCCCTTGACAACTAGTCTAGCCTTGCACCTTTCCACTGTCTCATCCATCCAAGCTTCACTGAGAACACCCATTTGTACCCTACTAACTCCTTACCATTAGAAAGATCCACCACCACCATCATCATCATTCATGCCTTAACCCAACTATGTGGGGTCAGCTACATGAATTCTGTTTTGCCAATCCCAAATATTATTCTTGTAAAGAGCCCTAGTTTAAAGTTCATTTAGGAATTGTCAAAGCCTCTGCAACATTCTTAAGAATGGAAACATTATCAATGGCAGACAACAAAGTACAAAAAGAGGGTGGAACTTTATCATAGGACATATAATGAGTAATGGGATGTTTGGTTGTACAAGACTTAAAACCCTTATGTTTGGCAACAGGAATATCAAGACCATCAACTAGGACATCAACAACAATGGGGTTAGGAATATTAATAGGAACAAGAGTACCTAGCTAAGAGGGATCTGCCTCCATTGATTCTAATGGTGTTGGTCGCACAATCTTAGGTTGCTCCACACCCATTGAACGTAGTTGGACTCTACAGTGTTGTTGCATGAAAATTGGAAATGGAGCAAGATTTGGGAAGGAAGATGGACTTGTTGAACTTGTTTCTCCTCAAGGCTATTATCCCCTTAAGGAGAGGCATGGAAATGGAGGGAAGGTGGACGCTCAAAGAAAGACGCATCCATGGAGACAATATTCGTGGGACATTGGGCCAAATTACTTATATCCCTTTTGAGATGAAGGATAACCCAAGAAAGCAAAGGGAACAACTTTAGGATCCCACTTACCACAAGAGGGAGACAGATCATGGACAAAGCAATGACACCCAAATACATGAAAGGGTATAGCGAATAAAGGGGATTGAGGAAACAACAACTAATGTAGGGCCTTATTCTGTAACACCCAAGAGGGTA